TTATCTAATTAGCAGCTACACCTCTTTTGAAGTGGATTACGTGAACGGTTTTCCGTTCTTAAGTACTTAATAGTGTTTATTGATCAAGTAGTAGGATGTGACTGCTAGGTTAAATAGAAGGTAAATCACAGTGCACTTTCATCGGTATCATATTCTTAAGCGGGTATAGGTTTCAGGCTTGTGACTAATCTTCATCAGACCCTACTACAGATAGATTAGCGTTTGAGGACAAAACTTACTGCTAGAAAGCGCCTAGGCCAACAGTTCACCCTTTCAATTTATTGTACAAGCAGTATTCGACAATAAGCGAATATTTGTTCCATAAATAATATTACGAATAAGTCACCCATAGTAAAAAAATATTATCCATGATTTTATTCGAAACATGATTTTTGAGGGTACACTTTCGAAAAAAACATCAAAAAGGTACCTCGCTCATTGGAAGAATATATTTATTCGATGTGTTGCACTTACTACAGTAGAATCACCAGCAGGATCAGTGTTTTAGATTTGTTGATCTGCAGGTATAACCGGTAGACAATGAATTACACTTCTATGCATCGTAAATAGAATGTTAACGATAAACCAGGAATGATCAACAATATAATGCAATACAGGAACTTTTCGTGGTTATATATATGCGTACATTACTTATCCAGATTACTGAAAAAGTAGTTGATCTGAAAATAAAATAAAGGAAATTTTTAGTAACATCAACTCAGAGAATTATGGTTTTTACATGTATGCACAGATTTATCCATCTTGAAAGTTATCATTTTATAAACATCTAAACTAAGTACAACACTTTTTTATTTTTAAAAAGGGTAGGAAAAATCACCGCCACTATTAATGACTGTGTGTAGGCTGTTCATACTGGATGAGTTTTAGCAAGCGATGAGTAACTCTTACCTTCCGGTTGGCCGATTTTTGTTCATGAGCCTAATATGTATTGGAAAATGTGATGAACAAGGTCAGTACTGATTATTTCACCTTCTTTAAATGCAGTAATTTTATAGTAAAGCTTTTGTTACCAAACAAAATAATAACATCAAAGCAAATTATTTTGATTGTAGCTGATTATTCTTATAGCTTTTGTGACTGATTTATTGTACATTTTAGTTGTTTAAAAATCTTCTCACTTAGCAATCTACTTAATTGTATTTTATTCCTTCGACGTGTAAACTGTTTGAATGTATGTCAAAGTCTTTCCATTAACAACTGACATGTACATCAGGTAATCTGATGATTCCCCATGAAAATTCATTTATTTAGGCGGTAACATACTTTGAATCATGTATCAGTGTCCCCTGTTCATAGATGACAAAAGGAGTTTATTCAGTTTATTTGACCTAATGACATTTTCATTGTCAATGCTTTATTTTTTTCAATTATGTTTCAGGGATAAAAATATTTCAAAAGTATAAGTCTGTTATTGGATCACTACGTTTTATTTGAAACAACATCCTTCAAAACACAAGTGCTTTCGAAATCTTAACTTACAAATGCAAGATTATCAGGCAAGTTTTAAACCCAGATATCTATTCTAATTTTTGATTGAGTGGTATACACGACACCAACCTTATATGATTTGGAATCAGATGTAGCCTCTAGCCTGTTTCTATACTTTTCTTAGTTGAAAATAAACCTTCATAAAACCTATACAACTAAATTCTAAGTTAGTATTCACTATGCACTGATACCAGTTGGAGAACCATTGAAAATCTAGGAGCCCTGAACAGCTGCCTCATCCTAATATGGGATTCTTAAGAATGACGCACCCACGACCCCACTAATGGATCACATTTGTCTACTGTCAATCCTCACTATAGTGCGATCGTCATCCAACGTCATCGGCAAGTATATGTCCTCACACCCAACTTGGTTGAACCCACGGGTCATAGCTACTAATTAGAATCTCAAGAAATCCATCTAGAAGGATGCCACTAATGAGCACTAGATAACAATTCAGTTTGGAGGTTTGTGAAGATTAGCTGATAAGAAAGAAGTACGCGGGACGTACACTACTAAGGCTGTCATAGTAGGACAAAACAACTTCCCAGTGCTCCCAGGTTTTCAATGGTCTCACAACTGATACTAGTCAATGATGAATACCACCGTGCATTCAGTTGTGAAAGATGAGCATTATTTTCTAGCATATTGGAAGTATTTTTCTTTATTAGTTTGAGTCAAATCAAGATGAGCAAGATTCACCTTCCGATTTCACTCGTCAACTTTTTTCGCTGGTCCCCAGAAAGGACACAACATTGCAGGTTCTTTTTCGCTATCACTGAAATGATAATATTCTTTGATCTGACAGCGAGTTTGTACAGTCATCAGTCAAACCACACAAAAGTTCATTTTACAAATGATCGAGAAGTCGATTATTACTTACATGAATTAGTAAGACTTTCTGATGTTCTTTATCTAGGAAAGCCAGATGTTATATTCTGTTACTTAATCGAGATAAATTCTGAAGTCTTAATCTACACTACAATTAGTTTAGATCTCACAGACTGAGCATTCACTGTCTTCATAAGTTGTATAAAAGCATACTCTAAAGTGGTTGGGAAAATGTATAGCGCAGAAATTTTAACAGACTCAATCAAGGTGGGATTCGATGTTCGGTAAGTAATTTATGTATCTAGAGAGGAATACGCTCATATTAGCGTCCCCGTTGGCAGTCGGTATTGCTGAAGGTATAACATTAACGGCTTATAATTAGGTTACTGCATGTGCAGCTTTTGTTCCAAATTAAAATAAGACAAGTTGTTTGTTTAGTATCCTTTCAGTACAAGGACTATCTAACTGGTATTAACATATTTCGCTCCCAACGTTTAATGAGTAACCTGAAAACGGCCGTCTGAAGTTTTAACAAAAACCACTTTTCTCAAACTATTTAAGTTAAGTCAGTTATTGGTGCACAATGCAGAATCTTACATAAATGGATACCATACCATGTTGGCATACTCTCTAACAGCAGATACCAATAACGAAAAAAGACAGTAAATAAAACTAAGGATATCAATAATGCTGAAGAAATAGAAATAAATAGAAAAACCATAAGATAGTTCACATAGGTGTCCATTAATGACTACGTTGATATTTAAAGAAGCTCAAAATGTAGATAAAACGGATTTCGAATCGTTTTGTCGTAAATTTCCAAATATAAACTTAAGTATCTTCACAGGTTCCAATGAGGCACTGCCTTACACGGGTCAAATCAACGGTAATAGAAATAGTGTTCTGCTTAGTTTAACACCTCTGAGGAGTTTTTCAATGCTACTTTCTCCATGATTAACATTGTGCCCCAATGTGTACCGAGGGATTACATTGCCACTTGGATGGTGAATACATACTTTATATGAGAAAAGTTTCAATTTGATAACTAGTTGTGGTCAAAACGAAGTAAAAAGCCTGAGGTCACTTAACAACAAAGTAGAAAAAAAGCAGAGTTCAGGAAGGTAGCTTAATTATTATCCTACTTTTCAAGCTATAAGATTTGCTACAGAACGTTTCATTGTGTACCTACTTTCGGATCGCTTTATAAAACTAATCTAGTTTACTGTATGTACAATATTTAAAGTAATGACTGAGAGTTATTCTTCCTCTAACTACAGTCACTTTAAATAGAATTACGTTCAGCTTTAACATCAATCTGTAGAGTGTTAGGTGACTTATATTTCACCTCATTTCACTTACGGCGTATATGTTGTTAAATCTTATCTTCATACTGTAATAAGGTTGACTAACAATGAAATTCAACATAAACATGCACTTTCATAAATCAGCAGTTCTCATCCATGCAATAAAATAAGTATTTGTGGGACAGACTACTTGGTTGTGAATTCAAATTTAAGTACATAGTTCTACATAAAGACATCGTCTACAACTATATTCCCATTCATAACATTTACAACTACTAGAACTAGTAATAATATCAAGATAATATGTGCACTGTTGCTGATAATATTAGTTACATAGTGAATTGTAAAATGCATTACTATAATGATGACAGTAATATAATTACTTCGAGTTCCGTATCTCCGGGTAAATCAGTACAATGAATAGCATTTTTCACTTTATCAACACCGAATCGGGCTCTTAGTGTATCAGGTCGTAAAAATTTAGCGATCTCCTACAAAAAATTAGAAGTATTAAACACTTAGTTTATTTGACGACAATAATGACTGAAGTTTAAAGAAAAGTCACAATATGACTCAAACTAACTCACTGATTTATTTCATCAAGTACATTTGGAAAAACCATCTATTTGAAAATAACTGGATATCTTTTAGTATGACATTACTGAATAAACTGATTTTCACATAAATGTTAAACACAAAAAAGGTATACTCCATTATGCAAAAAGGTTAGGTAACACAGATTCATCTAAGTTCAAACCCACAAATTGATAGATAAAAAACAACTTAAAAGCTTGCATAGAATTGCCCATGATACGGCTGCAAAATGGCCTCTCAAATTAGATGCGAAGCGCTTATAGGTTCCCACCACAGGTGTCCTTGTCGCATTGCACGTGTATAGCGGAATCACCGCGTGAGTAATGTTAAGGTTTGGTGAAAGGTGCTAGACAACCAAGTAAGTCAGTTAAGGAGGTTGTCAACCTTCAGTCTATGAAGTGGTTTAGACATGTGTTGTACATGCCTATTCACACCAACTTGATATGCAGTTTTAGCAGAAGTTGAATTCAGTTGGAAGAAAACAGAAAATGGCTAGACCGCAGCATTACACCAATCCATGATATTTCTGACTCCTGATCTGGGCCGTGCATGGGGGTACAGACTGTTTGTTTGGGGTCCTAGAGACCATAGGAATCAATGGTTGAAGATCCTTTGTGAAATGACTGAAAATCGGCCACAATGGCTTAGATGCATCTTCTTTTAGATGACTTCTAAGGTTTGAATATTTTCACTAACTTTGATTTTTCGAAGTCTCTCTCCTCCCACCATATAACTTCTGCCTACCTTTCTCTAACCACTTCTTCATTTGCAGCTGATGGCAACCTAACAAAGTAAAAGGGTATCATGCTGTTCTGCTAGTTTTTCTGTTCTTACTTTCCTCGTGTTCATGAATGGGGGAATGAGCAGGAGATTTCAGATGCACCGAGAGATTCCAAGTCAGAACAGCTATCCTTCATTTCAGAGACTTTAAAAAATTAACAACGGTTTTCCGAAATCACTTTCAAAGTCAATAGATAGCGCATACTACGATAGACAAGGATGAATGAGCAACATACAGACGAGCCGAAGAAGCTGGTCTTTCTAGATTACTTAACTTATCAGCTAATGATATTTATCGGGTTCAAACACCCGCCTCTGAGCTTCAGAGCTATCCATACAGAGCTACCACCTAGTACGACCAATACTGTCTAAACAGCGTTAACTTAACAGAGTCGTCTGTCAACCTCAACTACGAAAGGCTAGGGTTTCACTGTCTCCAGTAGAATCATCTTTACTGAAGCATCGTGCACCCAATTTTCAAAATTCAGAATAACGTCACAACCACAAAATGTAGTAAGTGAAGTCATAAAATATCATACTGCATCACACTGTTATTTGTTTGTATGCCTCAATGAAGATTTATTTGTTGACTTCAGTTCAAAATTAGGGCTACATTTCAAACGTTGTCACTGTTTGATGACGGAATTCACTGAAGTCTTCAATGATATGTTATGAAGTGAAAAGCTCAGTGCTAATATCGCCGACTATAATTATGAAGCATAATAATCACAAGCTCATGAGCAAGCTAGGTTCAAGGTTTCCTCTTTGACTGTCTGCAGAAAAAAATATAAAATTTTATGCACTTTCGTGAACTGCGAATTAAAATGTGCAGTCATAAAAGTTACTTTTATCATTTGTATTTTAAGAAAGTAATAAAAAACGAATTTAGTATCAGAAAACTCACTGGGTCTATAGGTCCAGAGAATTCGCGAAATGCTTGGTGTACACTTACATTGGCATCTGGTAATCCTATTTCCAGAGCTATACAAGGACCTGAAGACAGCTGATCTAAAATTTCTGGATATTCATGTACTACACCTTTATATACTTCCAAAAATTCAGCTGCATCTGTTTTTGATAGACGATATAGACCAGCTGCAGTTATACAAAATCCTTTTTCTCTAATTGCACTCCATATTTTCCCAGTAAGACCTGTACACACGGTAGAATTCGTTATTGCTTGTAAATGACTTAGGATTCAAGAACTTCTGAACTTTCACAATTAGTGAATTAATTAGGCATGTTATACCCTACTGAGTCAATTAATAAATACCCAACATCAATACAGATATATTCACCAACCTGTTGTGATGCATGAACTAAACGGTTGCTAATTTTAGTACCACTCGTTTTAACAAAGAATAAACCTGATAAGTGCGACAGTGAGATTATAGGAGGTTTAGCGTTATCTGTCTGGTTAATGTTCTTTTCTGGGTTTTAATAGTTTGATGAAAATACTACTAGCTCTCATAATTTAATCATCCTACCATTATCCAGTTAAATTTATCTATAACTGTTAATCAACTTCCTTTAAATGTATGCTCTGAACTGAGTGTTTAAATAAATTCATACCAACGCCGTAGGTATGCGCAAAATAATTAAGCATAGGCAGTTCATGTTACCAGCTTATATGAATATTTCAGGATCAAATGTTTCCTAACTGGATTTTAAGCATATTGTGGTGTATCTGAAAACCTAAAAGTACCCCATATAGCATTAGCTGGGTGATTTCGATGATCAAATGATGGCGAATGTTGGCCTTCATCTAAGTAGGGTTAATAAACGTCATGCTACACATATCGTAATCTGAATGGTTAGTAAATTGAATTTTCGAATATATATATATATATATATATATATATATATATATATATATATATATGCTGCAGGTAAGAAAGAGCTGGGAACACTATATCAAATAACCAGGTTACTTACTGTCTGGGAAGAGATGAACGCAGACAAAACCAATGAAAGATAGTGAACGAAACATAGCTACCAAAGAATAGAAACAAAGGAAACGACGGGTTGACCAATTCAAAAAGCTCTTGAATCGACCACTACCACCTTCAACTCGTCCAGAAATACCACCACAATATTACCAGTAAACGCAAGCCCTCCGACAAAAGCAGAGATGAAATCCTGAAGGCCATAAAGTTGCTGAAATCCAGGAAAGCAACAGGACCAGATGGAATCCCGCCTGAAGCACTGAGAACAGACGCAGCGACAACAGCAGACATGCTCACGCCACTACTGCAGAAGGTTTGGAAGGAAGGAAGGGAGGAAAGGTACCTGCCTATAGATTGGAAGAAGGGCTACCTTGTCAAACTCCCAAAGAATGGCAACTAAAGCTGAGTCTTTGCAATAACTGTCGAGGAATCATGCTACAGTCCCCACCTACCCAAGTAAAATATTACGCTGCATCATCCTGGAGAAACTAAACAGTGCTCTGGATTCAAAATTACAATCGGAACAGGCTGGCTGCCTTCAGGAAAAGTAAATCATGTGTGAATCAAATTCCAACGCTACTCTACGCTACACATCATCATAGAACAGAGCATAGAATGCCAGTCAACTCAACTCTACTTCAACTTCATCCACTTTGAATAGGCCTTCGACAGCGTCGACCGAGAAGTAATTTGGAAGGCAGCTGCTTTAACAATACGGTTTTAGTGCCACAAACCTTTATCAACCTCATTCAACAGCTATACGCTATGATGCTACATACCAAGTGATTCATAGTGGAAAGCTTAGTCACGCCTCTGAAGTGAAGACAGGAGTAAGACAAGGCTGCCACCTATTTCAATTATGATCTTCTTGATTGTTGTCGACTGGACTAGACTCGACCATGCAACAAACTGTGAGGGACGAGAAGAGGGCATACGCAGGCTTGACCGATGAGAAGACCCCAGAAGAAGATTTCGATTTCGCCGCCAATGATGATTTATGTATAATGTCTTGTCGCACAAACTCGAAGATCTACAGGCGAAAACCAACAAGTTGACAGAAGACACAGGGCAGCGAAGACGGGACTTCAAGTGAATGTAGAGAAGACAGAGGTGATGAAGATACCCAACCAACAACAACATCGACAACAAGCACCAATCACCATGAACAGGAGAAACCTAAAGGAAGTAGTCTCTTTCACCTACCCAGGCAACATCGTTTCAACTACAGGCGACACAGATAAGGACGTCAAACTCAGAATCGGAAAGACAACAAGACAGGCCTTCATTAATCTGAAATCAATCAGTCTGGAGATCCACTGCACTCAGCATAAAGAAAAAGACCTGGATTTTCAACACCAACACCAAGTCAATGTTTCCATATGGTTCAGAAACTTGGCGCGTCACGAAAAGCATCTCTAACAAACTGCAGACATTCATCAACAGCTGCCGCCTACTCCCACTCGATACTGAATATCGATGAGATGGCTAGAATAATAAGAATAGGCAACAAGGAACTCTGGCTGGTTGGCAACGAACCAACCAAGAACCCGTAGCACAACAAATATGCAGAAGGAAGTGGGGACGGATTGGGCATACACTGAGAAGACCGTTTAGAAACGTCACACACAAGGCCTTCGATTGGAAGCCAAAGGGGAAACGACGAGTTGGGCATCCCAGTTGAGGGTGACATGGAGAAGATGGTGTGAGGAAAAAATGAAAGCTTCTGGGTATTCATGAAGCCAAGTTAAGAATACAGCAGAGAAGAGAGTGAAATGGCGACGTGCTGCTGAAGCCCACCAGGAACCCAAGGGATAAATAATAATGATATATATACAGTAATCATTTAACCATTAGGTCTGTAATGCCAACTGAAGTTTATCCTCCAAGTTTACAATACGAGATGCTACTTTAGTGAACTGCATAATGGTGCTAGGTATTAACAGTCAACCAGCAGGATGCTCTTCACCTAAGTGTTTTGTTTGTTGTAGTTCACCCTATCCTCCTATACAACTGTGAGACGGGGCCGATAAAAGTAGAAGATATGAAAACACAGGTTTTCGAACACATGTGTGTTTATGGTGAAATCACCGCGTGAGTAATGTTAAGGTTTGGTGAAAGGTGCTAGACAACCAAAGTAAGTCAGTTAAGGAGGTTGTCAACCTTCAGTCTATGAAGTGGTTTAGACATGTGTTGTACATGCCTATTCACACCAACTTGATATGCAGTTTTAGCAGAAGTTGAATTCAGTTGGGAGAAAACAGATATTTCTTATCGCTGTTCTGAGTTGCGAAAGGTGTAGATTGTATGATCAGACAATGAGAACCGATGGTTAAAGAATCTAGGTGAGATGTTTGAAAAACAGTCGCAATGGCGCAGATATATTCACTCTCTGATGTCCTAATAAACTTGGACATTTTCACTAACCTTGATTTTCAAATTCTTTTTCTTACCATACAGTTTTGTCTACTTTGATATCAATCCTTTTCTACTCATTTGTTTTCGCATGTTACTGTGAAGTGTGGCACGCTGAACCGATGCACCTCTGTGTGACGTTCTACGTTGACGCTGCTTGTCTGTGTCCGTCCGTTGGTATGTATCAAGCAGTTGCATCAACAACCTAAAAGACACTCATGTTCCCAGAAAACTCAAACCTCTATTGCTCAGAGCTAAGATTAGAAACTTTACAACTAAGCTATTTAGGTTAGCTATGACAAGGAATTTGTTGTACACCATTTCGATTTGCATGGGAAATAAATAGATGAGGAAATACTTTCCTATTGAATTCTGCCACAGGAAGTGGCATGTGAATTCTGTGTGACGCTTTGAAAGATGGTAGGTTGTCTGGAATGGACTAATTGTTATTGTAGCTGGAAATGCGATGTATTCTACACCTAGAAATGAAGTTATAAAACCAACTTACAGACTGTGTGGTATATTTATCTTCATACATTGGGTTTATTATATAATATGGAACAATTAGGAATACAGACGTCTGTTTTGAGTGGGTGTTTTTTATAGATCTTGAAGAAAACTTTCATAAGACTAATGTATGCTATTGCGTCACTGAAACCTGGGAATCTTTCGACAGTTGTCCTATCCCAGCCTGTGACGTTTCATCAGTGCACACCCTTGAAAACAAAACCATCCAATCCTTCAATAAGCATATTAGTACTCACTTGCTATGCTAAAATCTGAAAATTTATGGTCGGAGCCATATCCTATCAATAATTTAGACAAATACAAATTTCCTCGCCATCAATTCAAGGGTTTAAAAATCCAGACCACTAAATTCTAACCTAGTGGCTCAAAGTTATTATTTGTATCGTGAGACCCAATGGATCCAACGAAACAGATTTATGAAGAGTTTCGGAATAGGATCCAACTGCTATCGTTTCATTATGAGACCGAACGTCAAAGTAAAGTCTCTTATGCGCTAGCCAAACTACTTTAGAATATTCCCCGATAAAAAACTTCTTTAAATATATAAATAACCACATCAAAAGACTTGAAGGTAAGTATTCCAGCGGAAAAAAGATGGTAGGATGTAGGAAAGCAAAATCATGTGTACTGTATAGTACTTATCCATTAGGGTTAGGATATTCTCAGCAAGGACTAATCTTTGATCACAATATGCTCACTTTTCATCTCTCAGTAAACATGCGCTTAGCAAAAGTTTATCTCGAGTGAACGACTTATTCTAGAAACAACTGGTGATCGGTATATTTGATAAGCACAGTGTTTTAAAAATTCATTAAACTCAACCTATATAAACAGTTTAGTTCTCCACTGGCATTTATTTTGCTTTTGCTCTTGCCTATGTATTCATATGAGTAACACATTAATAGATGCAATACACACTTTTCTCTTTGTGTTCACTTCCATCCCTAAGAGTTTCACTTTCAGCTTGCATTACCAGTCTAAAATAAGCATGCGAAATAAACAGTGACTTTACTATTGACATGATTCTGGTTTCAATCAAGTAACCTTCAAAACAGGTATTCGCAGTATTAAGAAGCGAACTTAGTAGTCAAATGTTACAGGTTAAGCTGTGCCCACTTAAATAGTCGACTGGGAGGCATTAAAAAGTGATCGAGTAAAGACCTGATAAGAAATGCAATTACTCACTGATCTTAACTGTGGAGTAAAATGTAGGTCCCATTCTTTGGTTTTAGAAATGTAGAAACCGATATTTTCACAACTCAATGTCAAGGTTCTAACCCGAATACAAGGGTGCAGATTTCTTTATTCTTCAACATGAATTGTAAAGGATATTGGCGGTGTTCTAGGGCATCATTAAAGCCATTAGTAGAATATGTGTAAACAGGCAAGGAACCATTAACCGTCTCGACTACAATAATATGGGGTTGCCCCGGGTTCCTGAACAAATCTGCGTGTAGGACTACTTCGTTTGACTTTGTTTTTATGCTCATTGGAAGAGTGGTAAATTGAATGGTGACAGGTTCTCCGTTAAACTAACTGCATGCACATGTTCTTTTACAAGAATAAATTTAGGTTATCAGAAAAGTAACAACTTAGCTAAACATGTACTATGGTGCCTTAATGTTATACTGAATAATAACTGATATTCCATACCAGTCAGTGTTTTTCACAAAAATTTTCAATCAAATATTGCAATGCTACCAACTTAGCACGGTAGTGAGATACTGAAATGAACAGTAGCGAGTATTTCGTATTTAAGGGACGTGAGTTGAAGGTGTTATCGATTAACAGCTTCAACACGAACGAAATGCAAGTGTATAATATTATAGGCTAATAAAACACCAGAAGTATAAAGAGAATTGACATTTGCTTTGAAGCATCTTATATAATAATTTACTTCACAACATATTTGTCAAAAGACGATACAACTGACACCAACTTACAACTGAGAAGTTTAACTTTTGGTGAGTTCTCTGAGTTGCATGATTTAATACTTGAACTTTCTTTAACATTCTTTATCATTAGCACAAACTTCAAGATATCAGTCTTATTGGCTTGTCATCATGACATCGAACGTGACTTCCTTTAAGCGTCTTCGTCAACTACACTTAAATGAGCCTCAATGTAAAGCAAAAGTCAAAAGATATCCTCTACTATCTCAATGCATGGGACCAACTGTCAGCAAGCATTCTGTTGGAAAAATGTTCACATTTAAAATAAAGAAAATACGGAAAGTTTCGCGGAAGTTTTTTTTGATTTTCATTTTCAGATCAATCAGCAAGACAGTCAATTGAAATAGGTGTGCAAATTTCAACAGAAGGACTATAAAACAAGCATTCACATGCCAAGTTATCAGGACAAGCTACTGAACCGACTGAGGACAAGTTCTCATGGTTTACTGCTTTCTGAAGTTTGTAATAATGATATCACCTAACATGGGAATGAGCTTAAGGAATAAACTATTCAGCCGGTAGAATGCAACAACATGGAAAACAAGTGACCTACGTTGAATGCTTTACTATTGGGAAAAACATAATATCTCTACTAAACTGATTATTTGCCTAATTTGGTAAGAAAACTGTTTTACCATCTGATACAGCATGCGGTCTAATGATACACAGTGTTGTATTCTTCAATAAAGGAGCTCCAAGAAAATTCGTGCCACCAGGATTCCCAAATATCTTATTAGCTTGTTTTAATGAATCACCAACATTTGATGCAATCATAAATAAGTCAGGATTGGATAACACGTTTCCATCATCTGCTTTTGATCCATAGATAAATTCACTTAAAAGTGAACATGCACTTGAACCCATTACTTCCAAGGCGACAACAACTCTACCTGATAACTGTTCTAGTAATTTACTGGATAAAATGGGAAAAAAATAAAGATCTTATGCTAAATAGGGTTTATTATTTCTTTATAACTAATGTATTATTTAAGGTGAACATAAGAATTTCCAGCAAGTCACGTGTAATTATTTCAGAAAACTACCAAATGAAAGTGTTGACAGATTGAAAGGGTATCCTCTGTTTAGTTCAAATGAATGACTCAATAAAAAATTAACTTACTGAAGATATCCCATGTTACTGTGTATGATGGGACCAATGGGTCGGCAACGATGACGTTATAGGTAGAGTTACCAGCAATGAAGCGACAGAACGATAACAGACATAGTGTAGTGGAAATTAGCGCAATGTGCCGACAGTCAGTGTTTAAAGTCCTTGGATGACATATTTCAAAATCGGTTTCAGTGGCAGAGAGTAATTTCTCTTTTTTTACTTCTTGTGGTAATTAAATATTTGACTGCTCAACTACCCAACTTTCCTTAATTCTAGTTTCTTATCATTTCCATTGACAGTCTATTCGTGTGCAGCTTGATTTGATTTACTACTTTGCCAGTTATGAAACTTCCTCTATATGGTGTTTATTTTGAATGAGTCCTTTAGTGACATTAATGAATTTTTAATCTTAGAACAATCCGCCACCACTTTTTTATACGCTACCCATTTCTTACTGAGTCGTTTTGTTTCATTCTATTTTATATCCCACAAGAATAGTAAGAACACATTTGACTACTAGCCTTCATTGGTTGCACAGTGAAAATAACAATTATGTGATCTATTCTGGTGCTCATTTAAATAGAACAGTACTGATTCTCACTTGAAAATGTACAACTAAATTGTTATCTAAAATTTCATCTTCGCCTTGTCTCTAAAGATGAAATGCTAATGAAGACCAAAAAGATAACATAGAGTGTACGATCGACCAACGTAGTTATGGTGCAGAATAAAAAATTGTATTCAGGTTTCCTTATTTGATATAAAACTCGGCATACTTAGAGATTTTTGTATGATCTTCCCTTCAACTGTAAACAATTAACAGGCTTTATTATCTAAAAGTAGCAGTAACAGCTAAGATATTGAGATGACAAAAAAAATTTATGGACAAGAACGTAAGACCTAAACCACAGGGGGAGAGAGAGATATCCATTTCATCTTCAAAGAAGATACTATGCATGAATATTGACTTCTTAGGTGATTTCGCAGGTGATATCTTGAGAAAAACAATTCCAAAGTCACTGAAATAAACTTTCTTCTTTCAGTGGTTTAGGACTCTTGGTGATACGACAGAAAATCAGTCACAGTGGCGCAAGTGTATTCACTCCTTGACACCTTCTAAAGCTTGAATATTTGTACTAACCTCTATCTTTAAATTGTTGATATCACTCCTTTTTATCCACCCGTTTTTTTGTTTACTACTATGAAGTGTTGAAGCTTGAACCGATACACCTTTGTGTGAGGTTCTACATTGATTTTGTCAGTTTTGTTAGTGTCACTCTACATATCAACCCTGAGGATGGGATGCTCCAGTCGTCCAGTGATTCCTTGCAACCAGAAGAATAAGCTCCCACATCTAACCACTTAGATTTATGTTTATCAATTCACCTGCTCCTGTTAAGTCGGGTATGTAAGTCGTTCGATGTGTTCTTCCCAAAAGAGTTAGTAAACATTACCCCACCTGGCCACGAAAGGTACGAGTGGATCCGTCAGAAGAGCAATAATTGAACATATTGTCAACACCGGTCACAGCATAACAACTGATTCAGCGTTCAACTTCATCCACAAGGTGAGAAATTCGCCGCCTTCTATGTAGTGCAGAAGCTCTTACCATATGCATGGAGAAACAAGAATTATGTGCACAAAAGCAATTTTTCAACCTTTGTTGCTAGCATGAACTTAGTAAGTAGCTGAATACGTCAACTCTATCTCTCACTTAATATTTATAACTTCGTTATATTTTAGTGCATATTTTAGTAGCCCAATATCGTCTTCATTTTGTTTCTATGCTACCCTTGATCACGATTCATCTTGAAAGTCATTTTTACATATTATGAGACTTGATATTTTATCCTGTTATAATGTTCCTTTTTATGCTGTTTAGTGAATTATTTTCAACTTACATCGCACTTATGGATTTTCAGTCTTCATTCAACTTGATCTTTGCTACTAAATATAAGTAATGTTTGCGACTACCCAATATAGTGCAACAAAAAATGTATAACTTGCGATTAAGCAGCTTTAAATAGGGAAATCGCCGAAAAAGATATCTTCACTGAACTCGTTTTCCCTAATTTCTTGATGGGCATTTACGATAATTTTTAAAAAGTACAGATTTAATACCGCTCATAGCATACACAGTAGGTGTACCAGGCAGACAGGCTACACTACGTGATACCAACAAAAAAATCATATTATGAGATGAATACGGTGTGTAATAAAAGTCGAATCGATATAAATGAATAAATAAACTAACACTGAAAACTGTAGAAACCAAACTATATATATAAACAGAAGGTTGTATTTAATGGTCGATCGGATCTTGACACCATCTTTCATTACTGTGATGAAGGTTTTTATGACAAAGATATAATCAAACACTGTAATCGCTTGATATTCATACACGATGCCAACCTGGTTTTAAACATTTGAGTGGTTTCAGCAAACTCCTGGTTCCAAAAGTAATTATCCATAGGATTTACACATACTTCGGTAGTTATGCTTCCCAAACGATAGCTGCTACGTTGATGTGGTGATCGGGCTTGCATATCACAATGACCCAGAGAGTAGTTTTGATGGAACGCTTGTTGTATCAAGGTTATATCATGCCAAAAATGTTTGTTAAATTGTGGTTACACAAAAAGCAGTTGCCGTTGGAGCGTAAACTACAACATTATGGTGATGAGTCGACAGTAAAGTCACACTAATGGTTGAACGGAAGTGTGACAGCGGTATCACGCTGATGTTGCCTTCCATATGAGAAGGGCTTTTATAACAGGTCGTCCTTAAAAATAGCACACCCTCATCACCCCACGGTATGCCGATGGGGGTCCATAGTCGGATACGAATGCAACGAAACAGAATCTCAAACTTGCAGAAAAGCAGTATGTGACTGGCCTCAAGCAAATGTCCGTTGAGCTCTTCGGCAACGGAGTACTTTAAGAAGACTTAACCTTCCACTATGTGGTGAATCCAGGAAGTGCCAACTACCTTCAAAACCTTGTCAACACTCAATTTTCCTTGGATTACTGTCCACTCAACGACTGAACGGCACAGTGAGGACGAAAAACTCACTGTTGCGGCTCCCTAATCTCTCCTTGCGCACCAGATGGAGTGAAGCATGAGTTCTGCCGAAAACTGTCTAGCCTCCTACGGAAAGCAAAGCACTCAGACATGGTAGTTGTTGCAGGTGATTTTAATACACAAAGGGGTAGGTAGAAAAGTGCTCACGTGGCACTTATGGAATCCGAGCCAAACGAACAGATAACGGTGGTCGCCTATTGCAGCTGCCCTCAGATAACCACTTATTGCTAGTCAGCATTAACTTCAGGTATAAAGAGAGACATCACTTAACGTTTCGTCCACCAGCCTCTATCCTGTGGCGGACACAGACAGACTAACGAGGTAGGACCTCCAACACTTAAAGAAGTCGAGAAAGCTCTAGCCAACCTGAAACAAAGAAGAGCAGCAGGACCAGATGGACTAGTTACAGAGATATATTTAAGGATGGTGGTCGCAGATTTTTAGTCAACTTTACTGAAGTGTTAACTAGTGTATGGAAATCGAACACTATTGCCTCTGATTGGTCTCAATAACTGATTCTCCAATTTCTCAAAACAGGTGAGATGTTCACCTGTGATAAAAACCACCCTGAAGAACATAGTATTTATGATTCTAGACTTCATAATCATTAGACATCTGAGTTGAGCTCGGAAACAGCAAAAACCAAAAACAACCAAGAAAGCTTCAAACCGAGTCCTGAGTACATCGACTAGATATTCACACTCCGACAGGTTCTGGAACACAGGCATACTTACCGGTGCCAGACACCAGCTGTATTTCTTGGACTGAAGGCGGCGTTCCAATCAGTCTATCCTGAGATCTTATGTCAATGTCTCTCACTAGAACGAGTGCCAAGTAAGTACATCATTCTGTTGAAGGCTCTTTACTCGAACACCCGTAGATGTGTTACAGTCTATGGTGAGTTGACAAGTGAGCTGTGTCCGTCAGCTGGTGTCCATAGTGATCTTCCACTCTCTCCATTCCCATTCAGTTTCACTATAGGCGTTCTTATGGAGGTCTCCCTCTCGTCGTCTGACTTCACAGGAGAATCCTTGGTGAATATAGAGTACGCAGGTTACACAGTCCTACTACATGAAGGCACTGACAAGATGCTCAGTCTTCTGGACACACTGAGAGGCAATTTGAGGATGTTTCGACTGCGTTTCTTATCACCCGAATGTAAACTGTTGCTGCAGGACTGGTCTGCCCCGGCTGACAGTAGAGGTGAAGTGAGAGAACGTATTGAACACTTTACTTACCTGGTAGGTTAGATCAGCCCTGGTAAGTCAGTACATTAGTCGACCAAATTCCTGCGCAGACACAAAAGGTTGGATTGGCCTTTGTAACTTACGCCATATTTGGTGCCACCACCATATCCAATCACCTACGAAGGTTCTTATACCGCACTGCAGATCGCTGCTTTACTGTAAGGCTGAGAAAAATGGCCATTGAAGTTAAAAGATATGAAAGGGTTTCAGGTGTTCACCCACCATTATGTCCGTGGCACAGGCTGTGTCATGGTGTCACCATCGCAGATGTCGGGTGTAAAGTGTTAGGGAGGAGAGGAAAGTCAGTTAATGCGGTTGTAAACTTTCAACGACTGAGATGGCTGCGACATATATCGCGTGTGTGTAGTAACTGTCTGCCTCATTGTGCAATGTCAGCTGCAAAAAGGCTCGGAACGCCTAGACTAAAACAAGGTATCACTTTATGAAATCTTCGACTGATGCTTTGAGCCATGTAGGGAGACCCAGACTAGCCGATCGAGGCTCACGCGACAAGAGAAACCAGTAGTTAGAGACTTTAGATAACATGGCTCAGAATCGATACCAGTGGAGCAGATGCATCAATACTTTATTTCTATTTGAACCGCCATAATGAATTCAGCATTTGATGATTCCTACTTCTTTTCTTTTACTGCTTTTGACTGATTGTCTTATTTCTTCATTTTATTGCCTTTTTACTTGGTGTACTGATATGAGGTGTGTCAACTTGGTGCTTTACGCAGTAATGGTTGGTTCTATGTTGACATTGATGATGAGTTATATGTATGAAGACTGGTTTGGGTTTTGGAATTCGGTAGTGTCACCATGACTAAACCATGAATTACAATTTTGGACCAAATTTACTCAAGACAGTCGTTTTAACTACCGACTGTTCTTATCACGAACGATAACATGGGTGACCATAAAAAACTATTTCACTGCAACCAACTGATTTAAACTTCTTCAAATGAAACTGACAAACAATTCACCGCAGAACCATGTGAAGAAGTTTATTGACTCAGGTTTTTACTCTTCACAGCAACAAATACATGTTTTGAACTCTTAAATCACCTGATTTATAAAATACTGAGTTTTGTTGATAGCAATGATACTACGTCCATTTCTAGAAAACTGCACTATTCATTCGCGCAAAAATAAGCTCGCGTCAATCGAAATCTTAGAATTACACAAGATATAGGGGAAATATGTATTAAAAACTTGTAACCAGATTCAGACTTCATGTATGCTTTTTAGTTCTTGATCTTGTTCTCTTACAGAAATAGAAATGATCTTATTTGACAGCTCACAGGCAGATAAACATAAAATTATGGAGCATCTATAGTTACTACACTTTAGCATAAAAGCAATCTTATTGAGTGACTAAGACCATAAAATAGAGAGAATATAAATCCATAGATAACAGTAATAAGAAGGGAGTAAATAAACTACGGAAAATCCAAACCAATGACTTAAAGAGAAATTCATCAGAAACGATGAAAGGATTGAATGATATTGTGATCAATTTAGAATTATTTCTAAAACCGTGATTAGACGTTAATATTCCATACTTTCTTCCACCCTCCACGCATCGGCACTCCTCAAGCCATCAATAAAAATATAAAATGTCTCAACCAAACTAACAGATACAGCAGTTCTCTTAGCCCGTGTGACAGTAGTTTGCTTAAAATTAGATAGCAGAGACAGCTAAGAGTCTAATCCACTACCAACGAATATGTAAGGGACTTCCGTGGGACAAGGTTTTGAGCTTTTGATTTATCTGCTCTATTTTGACTACACACAAAGATCATGGCACTACCTACTGACAAACAATGCAGTCTTAGCCCAAAGCCCAAAGCTGAAAAGTTCAGTTTCCATAAAAGGAAGACTTTAATTAAAGAGCCGGACTACTCAAACATTGGAGCCTGAAAGCGACTCCGAATAAGTTGCAGTATCACTCTGATTATTACAATTGTTACAAATATTTCTATTTGGAAACCACTAGAGTTTGTAAACTAAGGAAGGTTCAGGGATATTTATAGGTCAGTACCTGAAATATCTGTACATCCCACCACAGCTTCGGTGAAACTTCTGCACAATACGGTTTCTTCATACAAACTTCAACTCGATAGCGAACAAGTGGTAGCAACTTCGGTGAATACACTCAAAGAAGGGACATGTCATAAAAATAACCACTTCAAGGATTAACTAAAGTTGTTTGATCCACTAACTTTCCTTGTAAATGCAAAATAAACATCAAATGGTGTTGATGATCGGTCAAATATGCTTCTTAATACATGCATGGGCCTTATTTGGGATCTTACATCCATGCGGTTACTCCGTGCTTTTCAAGAGCCTCAAATATGCTGCTTAACGGAGCATTATTGATTACAGAAGCAAGCATGTTTGATAATGAAATATAACTTCTCAAACATAAAGGCTGTTATCATTTATATAAAGTACAACCTACTATCATTACAAATGTATTATTCCTACCAAAATTATTGTACCGTTTTTATATTTACAAATATCAAGTAACTCACGGAATGTTGGAGATATTCGTGTGGTTTTCGAAAAGGCATTTCACTTGGTCCGACGTTATACGCAACATCTTCAGATTCACAATGCGAAATGCTTTATCTTCCAACATTCCTATGACTTCTCCAGCCCGGCAGACAGAATCCGGGGTTATGAAAACAACACATCTTAAAATAATAAGAAGCTAAAATGTGTAATTACCTCTCAGAACGACCCGAAAGTTCACGCTTTGTAAATTCATCACCGAAATCCACAATTCTCAGTGAGCGTGATAATATCGTCACAGTACTACCTAGATAAAAATCTGACAATTTGAGTCCCTCAATCTTTGTAGGTTTTAAGAAAAGCCTGTTAGTTTTTTCTTCATGCTTTATTAACAATCAAAAATTAGTCATGATTACCATTTCAACAGATGAAATATCAGGATGATAGATCAGCTGAAAACTTTTGACCAATGATGATATCTCATCAAACCATTCGACCAGAAAGCAATATGATGGACCGTTTTTGCTCTGAATCTCTGAATAAGATCGGAATTCCTTACCATATTCATAAAGTTGAAAATATGTGTTTACTCGTCAAGGAGATGTTCGGCAAGTAAAACAAATACCCACTCACGAACATGTTTCACCAGCTTGTAAATATCAACTTACTTCTTTGGGACCACTTTTATGCCCTGTAGAATGGTTACGCGTTTCGGACGGATTTCGATGCAGCAGGTCTACCCAGTCGCCTATTGTAGCTCTGCTCCGCTCGATGGGCGGTTGTGTTGATTAAATTTGTAGAGGTGGATGGTTAAACGAAACGCTCCGTAACTGTTTAAATGTTTCTTGAAGCTACCGATAGATGGAGCGATGGCTACCTCAGCAGAAACTGCTTTCCAGTGGCCATAAATTCACTGACTAAATAAGAGTAAATATATAGCGCCACACACTTTCCCAAAATCAATAGCCTAGGGTTCGACGACACTCAACAGTGATGCTGATCTCGATAGTTTAACTGAACTCGCTAAGCTGAAGGCACCCGGTCAAGCATCCTGGCCAGTAAGCATGCTGTCGTGTTACGTTGCATTGCTCGTAATCGACTCTCCAGCCAGTTAGTTGGAACGCATCGGTATTTGGCACAACCACCCAAACATACTATTCCATCCGACTATGCTGTCGTGTTCTTTCTTGGTCTCGTATTCGTGGGTATATAGCAAGTGCGAAGGCTTGGTGATTGGTCTTTGCGTCTTTCAAGTTCGCACCAGGACAAATGCTAAATTGGTGAGCCCGACGTGATAACATATCCCGACCAATAGCAAATATTGAATTGATGAGTCTGTTCCATTTTATATTTGTATATTGCTTTCCTTTCGATGACATTTATATATCCATTTACTACACTTTCTCATGTCCGACCACACACCCAAGCTTATCTGCATTAAGCCGACTATGAACACGATCCAACTCGTGCCTTATTGGCCAGACAATGCAGAAAAATGGTTTCCATATGCCGAGGCAGATTTTCAGGAACAGGGCGTCTCAGATCCTCATTATCGGTTACTTGCCGTTATACGTTCACTACCGCGGGAATTAAACAAACAGGCTACGGCATACATGTTTAGTCTCGAAGTAAGTGATCCTCATGCACTTCTCAAAGCCGCACTCTTGAAGAAAACCAATCTCACAGATCACCAGCGCCTGGACGAATTGCTTTGTAACATCAAGCAGCCACTCAGCTACTGAAGTCCTCGCAAGCATGCGAGGAGTTATCGGCGCACGAACATTTGACAATGGCCTTTTATGAAAACTGTCGTGTTCTTTCTTGGTCTCGTACTCGTGGGTATATAGCAAGTGCAAATGCTTGGTGATTGGTCTTTGCGTCTATCAAGTTCGCACCAGGACAAATCTTAAAAATACAAACAGTCTTACATGTTTTGACTGGAGGTCCGCTTCAGGTTTCCACGTTGGCCATGACGGATACCGTTTGGTAACATTCCACCGTTCGGATGACTTGGATCACCAAGTTTTTTGCAAGTCTTAATGAGATCGCCACGTAACACACGTTAGTTCTGTGAGAGAAGACCTAGATCACCTCTTCCCTTCTCTTTTGACTTATGTTGCACCTCCAGAAACCTTTTGTGGCTCACCTCGGGTCTCTGTCTATGAGGTTCACACCACTTTTCATGTGTGGTGGTGCAAAGACGTCGTAAACCCCTGAGTGAGGTTGTATAAGGGTCTTCCACGGCTTCAGGAATTACGTGAGAAAGAGGTTTGAGGTCACTGTGTGCCGTCCACTTGTCAAAGGTTACCAAATGCTTCAAAGCCCATAACCTACCCTTTCGTAAGCCATTTTGGGCATCGCTGAATAACCCCATTTTGTCTGCTATCTGACGGCGTGGTCTTCTATCTGGCCTTTCACCACTTTTGGCAACTCTGATAGAATGCTGTGGGTGAACAGCACTCTGGGTATCTTCCTCTGAAGATGGGACAGAGAATCGAACATTTTTCTCTTCATCCAAGTTTCTTTTATCCGAGGAGCTTTAGGAAAGGTCACAAAGTGTCCTACATACGGGGCCGGCGCTCTGTTTTGTCTTTAACGGGTGAACCACCTCACATTACAAGGCTTTCTTGCGGGGAACTTTAGCAGTTTATCAGGAATCATAATGGGATTTATCCGTAATACGTGTGACTTCCCTACATTGGGCTGCATTAAATGGCGTCTCTGGGGGTAACCAGGTAGGTGGCGTATGAACACCTTCTTTGAAAACTGTGTCTAATAACTTGAACAGTATTGTTTCCGTTAACGACTTACTGGACGTCAACCGTCAGGATTTCTATTGCTCCTCACAGTAAGGCAAGGCAATAAGCCGACGGTTACCAGTGTTCTTCTGATTTTCTTCCTAGAAAAAGGGTGGCTTGGTGACGCGTTTCTGTTCTACTAAAAGTCTGGGAGCCTGACCTCAAAGAATTCTTAGAAAGGTTATGCGTTCATTCGACGAGTGCTTAGGAAAGGTTCTCTGGGATAGCACACCTCGGATCAACATACCCAGGTGACTTCCCTCAGTGGCTTCTCTAATACTTGTTCGCGTGGTCAGAATGTGACACAGTTTTTCGGTGCCACAAACCTGACCGGGATCAGTTAGCACTGATGGGGATTCGGTGCCGGAATTAAGAAAGGCCGCTTCGCAGAGTGAACTAAGCAGCTTGGGTTTTCTTAATCCGTCCAGCATACCATAGAGGAATACTATGAAATTAACAGCTGGTTGGTTGGTTTCCTTTGAAACACAAGACGATGCAGATTTTTAGGGTATCTTTGTGGTTTCCTCCTTCAGTTTGGTCCATATTTTAACCTGTCACCGTGGACCCCCAGTATCGCCTTGACTCAGGATTCACTTGTGAACCAAGATATCGGACTCTTTGCTCGATGGGCCTCAGGTGAACCAGTCCTCTTTTCGAACTGAGATCAGTTTCCATGCTGCACATCTTAGCCTCAGGGTTAATAACTATGGCCAACATGTCACCCATCACGCGCTGCTTTGGATGTCCCCGTGAATCGTGCTTAGTGCTCACCCGTCGTGAACAGTAATAATAATAATAATAAATGTTTTATTCTCACATTAGTTACTTAACACAAGAGAAGCCGGCTTACAGGCGTCATCACACTGATATTTGTTGAAAAATCTACAAGATTTTACGGGACCTGAATGGTACAGAAGGGAGATGATTAAATTCAGTTAAAAACATCAGGTTCCATAAGTTATGAAATTATCATGAAAGTACCACTTTTCAACATGTATAGTGTTAAAGTTTAGGTCGTCTTCGGTCATTCTTTCTTTTTCATCTTTATTGGTACCAAGGTCGCACAAAATTCCAAACTTCCGTTACAAGCAGGCTTCGCAGAGCCCCGTTACACCAGATAAACGTCTAGTTGGCCATAAATTCTTTTGTTTATAGCTTCAGGTTCCGAAAGAACCCACACTGACGATTTGAGGAATCCGCAAGTTTCCACGTAATCATGTGATCCGAGCGAATGTCTATTCAAGTGTCATAATTCGCAACAATATAGACTTACGCCATCGAAATCAGATACTGTGGTGCAGAGGAATAAATATTTAATGAACTGCAGGCCAATAGCAATTCGTTTTCAATACTGTCCTTGTTAAAGTATGCAGCACTATCAAGGAGGTATACTCACTATTAGATGAAGTACTAGAGAAGTCTGCTGCATAGCATTACTGTGAATGTGTTCACTCCAAAGTTAGTAGGTGAGTTGATCTCTCGGATTTTACTGCACGTTCAGATTTTAGTTGTCATTATGGCCGTCCAGAAATTCGAATATTTTTAGGGTTGATAAACGTTCATATGGTAGGAAAGTGGAATAAGCGAATGGGGTTAGTAATTCTTACTTATTGGACAGCAATTTTCTTGGCAGCACAGTTTTATTGCTTCACAAAACAGCGGAATATTGAGAATTAGTAACGCATTTATGTCGTTTTACCGTTATTGCGGGTTATCTTGATGACGTGGGTCTTCAGGGCCTCGAGTTTATTTAGCAGTCAGATTTCCAGATAATTCGGTGAGATTTCATCCTTCTCCAGTTCCCTCATAGTCTAATGATACCTTCATGTCGCAACCATCTGAAATTTCGGCAGGAAAAACAGCTAAAGCAGGAGCAGCCTCCGCACCTTTGAGGTTGGAAATTGTTTATGTATTGAGAAATCCCGTTATGTCTGTAGTTTTGGTAGCAGTATTGGTGGTGCTTTCAGTGGCACTGTCCGTAATGCAGAGCTCAGCGGTCTTATAAGCCTGGTCAAGGTGTTTCATTCACGAGCTTAACAAACCTCAGGCTGAAGCGTACTTGCAGCGTTTTGGGGATCGATCTTGTGCGAATTTGAGAGACAGGAAGAAAAATCACCAAATATTTATGCTTGGTATTTACCCACGAGTGCCTGACCAAGAAGTAACACAATAGAGTACACTGGCAGAATACAATATTTGCTGGATCGTACAAAAGATTATATACGCACCAAGTAATTCAACAAGGGAACGATCATGAGTGACAAAATGCAAATAGACAATGTGAAACGTGGCGAGTGTCGTTGAACGCGTGCCTCCAGCTAACCGAGTGCATTAAAGCTATGATGGCAAGCATCTTTAGTGGGTCTCATGGAACCACAGACTGCTGATTTCCGGGAGTCTGGCTGCCGAGGCGCAGTCTTTCAAAGTCTTACGGTAAACCTTGAAGTGGGAAGGAAAGGGCTTTCTGGTTTCAGAATTCACTTGCTTTTCATGTCGAAGGTTATTAGTGTACGACTATGAGATGATGCTTGACGTATATTTCTCAATGGGACAATCACCTTGTTTCAAAACGCAGTCCAGATAAGATGTACTCCTGCTACACCCTCACTCAAATAGATAGACCGGTTTCCCCAAGTGCATCCCTCGGACGCCGATTGAAGGATCTGATGATGTCTTACCTCCCTCTCAAAGTAAGTAAACAGTGTGTTGAGTTCATCTGTGGTGTGTGCGGAATCACAAATGGCAGAATTTTCGGCCAGGATTTCGTCTGTGATCATTTTCTTATGGTCAGAAGTAGCAGTCAGACCTAGATACAAACCTAATCCGGTATTTATTGCCGTTGAGAGAGAAGCAGCTGCGCGGGGAATGATGGGGTAAGGCAACAGTTAAGTTGCACAACAGTCTTTCGCTTGGATGGGAGGTTACATAGGAGAGCACCCGACCACTCCATCCCTACCGTCTGTCCCCGATGAACAGCTACTCTTCCATTCTGCTCATTTTCTTGTCACAAATGTCTGTA